GTGAGATTCGTCACGGTGATACTCGAGACGCCTGCATACCTCAAATTCTCATTGTATAGTGGGGAGAATTGGTAGGCCGATCTTCATGGTAGTCACAATAACACGTAAAGACAGCAATGACACTAGTGCACGACAATAGTTAAAGCCCTATATTTGACTCGGAACACACATGAATGCTGAAAATCGAATGAACAGATTGACTCATTGATTTCCGTATGCATGAAGGTGCAAATACAGTCTTCTTTTAAGCAGATGATACACACTCTATTGTGTAGTCGCCTGGGTAATTCCATGACATTGGAGGCACTCTCTGTCGGGTCGGATCATCAACATTCATTGTTGCACATCATGCACACTGACGTTGTGAATATCGGATTGAGTGAAATGCACATTCTGAATACCGATTATCAGGCATCATCACGAATTTGAGTTTATTGGGGAAATACACTGTCACGCCCAATCGTCGCTCACTCTTCACCCAAATATCACGTTTCTGAGTTTCCATTTAATGGGTGGATCCATTCAAAGAACCCTTGTGGATGGACTCAGTTGACTTAGCCTTGATACACATGACAGATTTCGCACAACTCAGGATTTGACCAACACGCATTTTGTGAGTGGGACTTATTCGGCAGTGATGATTCAGATCAGGGCGACGATTGAGTGCTGACTTATCAGCTGTGAGTTCATTGCTCGAATCAATCAACCTCATCACTACGAAGAAATCACACCCACTAACAAATCGGCTCATATATATATATATATCTTTGTCTTTTCTTCCATTTAGTCAGTGCATCATCTTGTGGAGAGTTGGGTCGATGGTGTGACCGGACAATTTTCCATCCTTGCTGCGATGGCCTGGTTTGCAGGTTGGAAGGATTCGCCAATGGAAAGTGTGTTAAATGTCTGGAGAACGATTTTCTCTGTTTGGCTAATTCTGAGTGTTGCAGTGGATATTGTTATTTCTCTAAATGTGTCAGTTCATCAATAAATGCGAACAGATTGTCATCGTGAGCATACGATTCGAGTAGGATGTCAGGCTGATTTGTGCTGAGATTTGTGCACATCAAGTTGATGTTGATTTTAAATATATCTCTTTGTTCACAGTAAAGACTTTGTCAACGCTTTTCATATAAGAGTAAAACTTGGGAATTGTGGAAGCGTAGAACTAACTCCATTATGGATAAGATTGTATTTTCATAAATCACACAGTGTCGTACAGTGATGATAATTGACGACGTTTCAAGCACAAACTATTGGTGATAATCATATCAATCCCTCCGAAAACGTTTTACTTCATGTGCATACATGAGTGAAATTGATTAGACATTTGCATAACAATCAATATAAGAAAATGAACACTCAGAAATAACACTAAATCTGTTTCTGAATGTACATTTTCTGATTCAAATGTCTGATCAGTTTCACTCGTGAAGTTAACATTTGTGTGAGTTAATTGATGATGATTATTATTCTCTTGCGTTTCGAGTGGAACATACGATCCGTCTCCACTTTCTCCTACATATTTGTTGAGCGGTCGACTCTTGGTTGGTTTCTTCTCATAGTTACATTTTTCTTATTCTCTCTGGAGATGTGATCTTCAGTATGGAGAGAAGAGAGATGTTGATGAAAGTCTCCAATTGTCTGTTGGTAATACTTTTCGTGACTTGCGAAATTTCTGACCCGTGTAGAAGAACCGACTTCACATTACTGCTGAAAAAGCGATTCGTCTTGTTATGCATAGTGTGGAACTGTTTTAATACGCTTCGTCTTGACGAAGGCGCATCGTGCATTTCCGATTTTAACTGGCTACCCTGTTAATCGAAAGAGGCAACGTCTGTTAAGTTTCTTCTGTTGATTGTGATTTGTGCTGGCTGTTGTTGGTCGGTTATATTTATCACCTCCATTTACTTTGATTCGTGTCTCCTCAACATCATCGGCGAGTTTGTTGGTTTTCGCTTTCAAATCCTCGAGTTTTATTACAATAAACATGGATCAACTGAGAAATCCAATTCTTCTGGAGTCTTCTCATCGGTTTCATCCTGCAGCTGATTGACTCGACCAATCTAATCACCTACTAAATATGGATGAAAATGAGGGATTGTACATGCAGCCGTGTACATGTACGCTTCACGCATCAGTCATTGTAGATCATGTTTTATTGCAAACGTGATTTTCCGTAGATTGACATCACTCAAAACCACACACCCGAAGTGATCAGTTTTCACATCGATACACAGATACTGAATTTATTCAACGCGATTCCACAAACTTCATCAATACCAAGCATCCTAAGGTTACGAATTGACCGATTTGGTAGCTGTTGTTTTAAATGGTGGTATGATCTCAAACCTCGGTCTGTCGCATAACATGACCTGATCTATCATTATTCATCTCTGCTGCTGTTCATCACTCCACCATCGGTTCAATCATACACCAATCAGTGAACAATCAATGGCAGTGAATTTCATGTCTCTGTGTTTCTGCCAACTGTGGAACAAGCGGGGCAGTGCACTTCCATTTGTATAGAACCACGAGCTGTACACCAAACTGAGAGCCATCCTGGGAGCTGATGGATACAACTCTTTAAATAAATGCACACCACTTGTATTCCATTCCTCTACTTATCCCTCGCCACACGAGTCGAGTTGAGAAACCTGTACATTATTTTGTGCTTCACCTCTGATATTTACCACCTCTCCTGAGATAGTATTATAGCAGCTGCCTCACTCTATCAGGTCACATTTGCGTTTTCATTATTCACAGACGATACTCAAGTAACATTTCCCCATACGTTGCACATAGTCATGACAAATTCCATGGAGAATAATCATAATAACATTGAACAAATTTTCCATTGATGAAAGATGGTGCTCGCATTTGTTAATGCTGGTCAAAGCTACTGAAGCTGAGTAAACAGTGATACGAAAACTGGGAGGTTCCCAATAACACAGCTAAGGATGCATGCTTGTGCTATGCATGCGAAAGTGTGTGATAATTCACTGTGATTATTGTCTTACTACCCTCATTCAATAATGAAATGTTCATATTCGCTGATGTGGAAACCTTGCAAAACCTGGCTTTCATTTACCCCAGAGGTCTGCATTCTATCTCGAATGTGACGGTGTGAAGTGTGGCGAGCATCACCGAGTTTAGACGTAGAGTATAATGTAAGATACGTAAGTGGATCTGTGAGGCTGTGAATGTGCATCTATTGCAATGACCAGTACACGTGTTACGCACACACAACCACTGGCTTATTTGCTGATATGTGCGAGGAGACTTAAGACCAAGGTGGAAAACAGCGAGAGGTTGATCGAATTCAAACCTTTCAAAAATCTATGAAGTCTTTCACTTTCGGTTCGACCTAATCACCCAGCGGATGCCCGGAGCTTTCCATCGGGTTGACTGTCCATTGTATGACAGTCTCGGGAGATGGCTAAACCCTGATTCCAAACCTCCAACGACTGGCGTATGAAGCTCACTGGAGCTCACCGGCAGACATATGGACAAAGGGCTTTTTGGATGTCCTGGATGTCTTGCCCCATTCGAAAAGGCGTATGAACCGAACTCCGGTCACCGGCTCTCAATGGATAGTGGACTCCTTACTCCACTCCTACTGCCTTGTAGGTCACACTTGGCTGTGTAAAGGCTAGAGCTGCTCTCTCAAACAAAAGGCCGAGCGATTCTGGGGACATCACTCGTACCTTATTCCCATGAAACTTCATGAACTGTCTTACAAACAACTCTCACCAAGCTACAGCGTCCCCGGTAAGCGACGCGCCCTGTGCTCACCCGGTGGCCAGTGTGAAAAGTAAGCCAGCTGGGAAATTAACACTTAGAAACCAACTATTTGTTGGCCACTGGAATGTTAGGACGCTGTTGGATCCTGGTAGCCAGTCTATCACCATGTGTTCTTTATACGACTACAAGGTGGACATAGCGTGTCTATCTGAAGTGAGGTTACCCGATCATGGCTCCCGCCGAATAGCCGTACCTGGGACAGATTCTTCATTCTGGTTGCTTCATAGTGGACCCCAGAATAATTCGAGACAACATGGGGTAGCATTTGCTCTCAGTAACAAAGCCAATTATGCCCTAATATCATTCGAACGGTCAACTCCAAAGTTGCAATCGCTAGGTTCAAGGGTTTCCCGCTCGACATTTCTGTTCTCGCTGTCTATGCTCCAACCCTCGACTCTGATGAAAGTATCAAAGACGAATTTTATGACAATCTTCAAGAGTCAATCAACAAAATCCCAAAGCGTGACGTTCTCATAGTAGCCGGCGATTGGAACGCCCGCACTGGCCCTTCAGACGACGCGACAAAACATATACTAGGCAAACACGGTCTCGATCAGCGCTGCCGTAATGGTGATAGACTTTTAGCTTTTTCTGATTGCAATCGATTATATATCACCAACACTCGATTTCAACATCCTAGAAAACATCTTCTCACCTGGTATTCGAACGACGGTCGCACTGCACATCAGATCGACTACATCCTAGTGCGCTCACGCTGGATCTCCTCGGTGGAAGACTGTCGATCCTATCGTGGCGCAGAGGCCGGAAATAAAGGGGGATCAGACCATACTCTAGTTCGGGCGAAATTCAAACTTCGCTTAACAACACGCCAGAAGGCGCGACCTCCGAAGCGTATCAATGCTGCTCCGCTTCAATGTTCGACAAAGCGACAAGCCTTGTCCAAACAAATCAAGGCCGAACTAAGCGCTGTAGATGAACCAACATCCACATCTTCCAATACACCTGAGACAAGATGGAATCATTTCAAAGAAGTAGTCTCTAAAGCTTCAATTTCGCATTTGGGTGCCACTTCCACGAAGCAGAAAGACTGGATTTCATAGTACACCATGCATCTATCCTCGCAAGCCAGAGACGCTCGCCTAGCAAAGTCTCCAGTTTATCGCTCCCTCAGGCGCAAAGCTACACAGTCTGCTAGGAATGACAGAAATCGCTATTGCTCTCATGTGGCGACTAACATGGAAGCAGCATCAAATGTAGGCGATTTCGGAAAACTTTATCGCCTCATACGCCTATCATCTGACAAACGCCTTAACAGTCATGCTGTGTTACGCACAGCATCAGAAGAAATTATTTCGGACACCAATGGTAAGATGGAACGATGGGCCGAACATTTCAAGCAGCTACTCAATCGCAACGCTGGTCAACCGTCTCATCGACCGATACGACACTTACCAACACCCTACTTAGTTGACTGCGATCCACCCACTACAACTGAAATAGCTTAAACGACTAACAGACTCAGAAACAAAAAAGCTCCGGGCGAAGATGGTCTACCTCCAGTGTAAGCGCAATATCGCTTGAAATTAAGTCACGCGAAGATAAAGGGTATCCCGGTCCAGAACAAACAAGAAGCCGGTCACTGTTTCTACGGTACTATTAATAAACAAATCAATAACTATATATACAACAAACCTTAACGGTTTCAAGAGTACAAAGCACAACGCTTAACAGAAAGCAAGGTACCGCTATCAGAGCGGAATAACGTTAAAACCAAAATTGCGAACTAGCCGGAACCAGACACGACCGTTCAGGTAAGCAGTCAGTAGAAGAATGAACCCAAGTAAGGCATAGCATAAAACAGAGAGCGTTTAAGAGAGATAGACCGAACACAGGCACCAAGATAGAATTTAATTGGCTACTTAACCAGGTAGGAAAATACAGATGAAAATCAATAAAAAAAAAAAACTCGACAGAATAGTACAAAGTTAGACATGGGTCAGCAAAAATAACAGTTCACAAAATACTCTGATTGGGCCATGAGTTCAACTGTCTGACTAAACAGATCGAGGTAAAAACACATACACACAGTTCATTAAACAAGCAGGGATAGACACGTTAGGCATGGATAATTGGGTTGCAACAACTCTAGGCTGATCCGGGACAGGTTGGCTTGATTCAAGGATGGGAATAAAATTGATCTTACACCGGCCCCCAAAATCTGACTAGGATTTTATGAATCATGTTATACAGAATAACCCTCGTGCCCGGCTCTCTTACAAATGACTGCCCTCTAGTCGGCATATCTTACGTATATCGCGCTTCACCTCGCCGTTTCTCGTTCTTATTGTAACCGTTCTGACAAGTTCGTCCGCGGATTGCTCGCATTCCGCAATAACTCCTCGCGGCCAACGCCTAGCCAACCATCTTGCCACCACAGAAATCGTAATGCTCCTCGATCGTCTACTAGCACCTTCGCTTGCATAAACATATCAGCTATGTCCGCGGCTACAGCAATAGGCTTTTCTCGAAAGCGCAACTGAACACCAACAAGCTCGGAAATCGTATCAGGTTCTTGATATAGCTTATCGTTCAAAGAATAACCTCTAAAGGTTGCAGCACAATCTATAACTCTTCTCAGTTTATCTGGCTTTTTCGTTTTCATAACGGAATGATGTGGAAGATACCACCTCGAACGATAGTTCGCTGCTAGCTGCTTTGGGGGTACCGGAAGGGCATAACCACTTTTTAACATCGTATTTATCCCCTCCACATATCGTGCTAAAAGGTTCTTGTCACATGATAACCTCTGTTTCAGAGTGAGTAACGGCTTTATGGCGACTACATAATTATTGTCCGTTACCTTTGTCGGATCTTCCCATGGCAAGGGAATGATGTAATGCGCCTTTTCTACTACGGTGCTTTGAGTAACAAACTCGATTGCCTTACGATCTTCAATAGAAAATGAGTTTTTGTTTTCTTCAGTATCCTTAAGCTCAGCTTGATGTAGACTTCTGATGTCGTCTTTGATACTGTCTTTGCTGATTCGAGCGTAATTGACAGTGCCTCTTTTCGTATTTCCATGAGTTTTCCGTTCGTCGTCCTCGGCTAACTTCACATGCAGCTCGGCCATTTCGACATCATGTCTAGCCTTTAGCAACTTTTTCTCTGACTCTAACTCCTCTCGAAGCTGTTTCTCTTTTAGCTGCGCCCTTAGTAGCAACGACTTAGCACTAGTTACTCGCGGTAATGATAATTTCGAACTACTGACATGAGAGCCGGGGCACGAAAGATTATCAACATGATCATTTATACGAACGGGGACTTGCCGACTCTCCGACTGCTGCTCCAAAATTTGATTCCCTGATCTGGTTTGCATTGTTCCAAAGACAATGTATTGTCAATAACGTTGCGTGCTGCCAATTCACCACAGTTTCTTCTCGATGAACGCTCAGTACTGACCAGTTCAGTACGGGATTTTCCTATTAGACGTTGAGTACTGACCAATTCAGTACGGTCTCGATCCGTTTAGCGTTAAGTACTGACCAGTTTAGTACGGGATTTTCTTCAATGACAATTCCTCTTTCGTTAAGTACTGACCAGTTCAGTAAAGTCTCGATCCGTTTAGCGTTAAGTACTGACCAGTTCAGTACGGTCTCGATCCCTTTAGCGTTACGTACTACGTTAAGTACTCCGTTAAGTACTGTAAGCGCAATATCGCTTGAAATTAAGTCACGCGAAGATAAAGGGTATCCCGGTCCAGAACAAACAAGAAGCCGGTCACTGTTTCTACGGTACTATTAATAAACAAATCAATAACTATATATACAACAAACCTTAACGGTTTCAAGAGTACAAAGCACAACGCTTAACAGAAAGCAAGGTACCGCTATCAGAGCGGAATAACGTTAAAACCAAAATTGCGAACTAGCCGGAACCAGACACGACCGTTCAGGTAAGCAGTCAGTAGAAGAATGAACCCAAGTAAGGCATAGCATAAAACAGAGAGCGTTTAAGAGAGATAGACCGAGCACAGGCACCAAGATAGAATTTAATTGGCTACTTAACCAGGTAGGAAAATACAGATGAAAATCAATAAATAAGATAAACTCGACAGAATAGTACAAAGTTAGACATGGGTCAGCAAAAATAACAGTTCACAAAATACTCTGATTGGGCCATGAGTTCAACTGTCTGACTAAACAGATCGAGGTAAAAACACATACACACAGTTCATTAAACAAGCAGGGATAGACACGTTAGGCATGGATAATTGGGTTGCAACAACACTAGGCTGATCCGGGACAGGTTGGCTTGATTCAAGGATGGGAATAAAATTGATCTTACATCCAGAAATATACAAGGCCTGCACTCCAGCGCTAATCGATTCACTGCACTCACTGTTCTGCTCAATTTGGGAAGCCGGAACCATTCCTTCCGATTGGAGCACCTCAGTTCTGCTACCGTTCCACAAAAAGGGAGACAGGTCACTATGCGAGAACTACCGAGGCATAAGTCTGATTGATATCGCTGCTTAGGATTTTGTTTCCATTCTCCTGAACCTCTTCGCGGCCGAACGCCACGTGTGAACAAGGCCAAATCAAGCCGGATTTCGACCTGAAAGAGGCTGTGTTGATCAATTATTCACACTGCGTAGAATTGTGGAACACAGGGACAAATTCCAACAGCCGACGGTTGCTTGTTTCATCGACATCCGAGCGGCATTCGACTCAGTTGATCGAGGAGCACTCTGGTATCTAATTGAGCTCGACGGAGTTCCGACCAAGCTAATCAACCTGCTCAGGTCATACTATTCCAACACCAAAGCTCGAGTCCGAGTGAACGGTGAAGAGTCTCGCACTTTGAGGTAACCAGCGGTGTCCGGCAAGGTTGTCCAGCATCCCACATTCTTCCATTATAGATAAGATTTTATTTTGATAAATCGCACAGTGTTTACAGTTATATGAACTGATTACGTTTCGAGCACAAACTATTGCTCATAATCATATCAAGTTACTCACACAACTTTGATCTTTCATTTATATACATGTGTGGAATGGATTAGATATTGGATTAAAAATCAATGTGAGATAATGCACATTCAGAAATAATCGTACGAGTGTTGTTGATCAATTGCAATTAGATGGGAAAATTGGACGAGTGTTTTTACAGTCATAATAAGCTGCTTGTTAGAATGTGTTTGAATTGAAATAGAATTTTAATATTATTTGTTACCCTCTTCTGATCTGACCTGTGATAAAAATATCTTCCATATCTCTGGTATTTGCATTGAGTCATTTTTGTTGCATGTGTTGGGTGTGGACTCGATAAATAAGGATTCCGTAATCAACCTCTCTCCACTTAGCTATATTACTTTTTAGAATTTTAACCCTATCCCACCCTATTGTGTGGTTGTTTGTTATTGCATGAAGTGCAGTAGCTGAGCTTTTTTCTAAATTACTTATCTTTTCAGGGTCAACCATTATTACCTTAGCTAAATTCTTATGTTCTGTTAGTCTGACTATCCCTGACCTACTAGTTTGACCTATGTAGTTGACCTCACAGTCCAATTTTCCCATCTAATTGCAATTGATCAACAACACTCGTACGATTATTTCTGAATGTGCCTTATCTCACATTGATTTTTAATCCAATATCTAATCCATTCCACACATGTATATAAATGAAAGATCAAAGTTGTGTGAGTAACTTGATATGATTATGGGCAATAGTTTGTGCTCGAAACGTAATCAGTTCATATAACTGTAAACACTGTGCGATTTATCAAAATAAAATGTTATCAATAATGCTCCAGAAAGAAAAGAGGTGGAGGTGTTGCAACTTTCATTCATTCTCAATGGTCAACTTCAAATAACGTATGTTTTTCTTACTCTAATGACTTTATTGATTGTATAACGGTCAAATGCCGCCCGAAACACTTATCCAAATTCAAATACGTCTTCATCTCTAACATTTATGTTACTCCTGGCTGTTCTGCATCTGATCTATCTGATTTTGCTGATGAATTCACTGAATTCGCCGTTACACATCTTGAAAACTCTTTATCAGTTGTCACAGGAGATTTTAACTGCTGTGATTGTTCTTTCCTCGTATCATTAGGTCATGCCAATATTGTTAAATTCCCTACTCGACTTGATAAAACCCTTGACCTGGTGTTCATTAATGATGAGGAAATATATGAAGTACGCCGACGTGCTCCTATCATGAACTCAGATCATTGTATTATTCGGATATTACCTAAGATATACAGCAGATCTCACTTTAATATCTTCTCAAATCTGTCCAAGAAAACACAGCAAAGGTGTTACTCACAAGAAAATATGCTCAAACTAAGATGTATGCTAAATGACACTAACTGGGAACTTTTCAACGAACACAAACTGGATGATACTATTTCCAATTTGACTGACTATCTTAAATTCTGTCTTGATATATGCTGTCCAAAACAGATAATTTTCAAAAGAATGGATCGTTTTTCTTCCCCTCA